GTATGAATAAATTGATAATGGACAATCCATATTATTTGTTGCTTCCCGGTCTTTTCGTAATAAAGGAGTTACTTTTGATGTGTCAATATAAGTTTTAAATTTAGGAGCTTCCTGTATTTGCATCGCCAATGACAGCAGCGGCCCTACACAGGCGAACGTAGGTTTCATAGGTGTGTTAGATGCAAGATCAATGTTTGTGTCCCCAATTATGTACAGATCATCATGCTTGTTAAACTTAAGACAAGTTTGTTGTAACTCGTGGATGAATAAGTGTTTACTTGTGCTTGGAGGACGGTAGATAGCAAGAAGGTTAAATGAGTAAATTACAGGCAGTGGTTACTTTAGCAGTTATCCCTTCAAAGTTATTTGTTTTCGTATTATAAGCTATCAATTTATTTCCCTTTCTTATATAAATAATAATGCCACCCCCTTTTCTGTTATTTTTGAGGTTGGTGTACATATTATATCCATCTAGGTGAAATACATTACATAGTGTGTCCGATATGTTAGCTTCAGTTATGATAATTACGTCAATTTTATTGTTACTTATGTGTATATAATGTTCTAGAGGAGAGGAGAAATTAAATTTTTTTTTGGTGGGTATTTTGTTAAGGAATACTCTTATGTTAGTACATTTTTTTAATTCAGTATGGTTATCAGAGAGAGCCATTTATATAACATAGTTAATATATTCGGTACTAGGTTGTCCTGTTTGAGCGAAATATCTACTTAACCTGTCTCAATATATTTTTAATATCTTCTTGGCGTCTAATAACAATAACTTTTGCCTTTTCATCTTTACGAACACGAATCTCCTCCTTTGCACCATATATACATAAATGTTGTCTTCAGTTGTTGCTTAGCTTCCCACAAAAGTTTCTTGTTGTAATATGATAGGCTTCCCTTATATACACCGGTTGATTAGCTATAGGTTCTTGTAGGTTGTCGAACAGGTTACAAGCCAACAATTTATTTTTCTTCGCAGCCAATATCCATTCCGCTGACGCTGTTAGATTTTTGCGATTTATTTCAATAGTACCTGGCTTCTCGTTTCTTCCCGGTAGTGTCCAAGTAAACACATGATGTCGTTGGTCGAAACCGTCAACTTTTCTGCTATTTTAGCAACCATTGTAGGTAGTAATTCTGCTTTTGTGTACGGAACATTGCCGATTTCTAAACATTTGTTAAGTTGACTCTGTTCAATCTCCTTCAGGCGCTGCTCCAGTGCACCCACTCTTATTTCCAGGTTGTTATTTTCGGTTTGAAGTTCATTGTTTTTATTCTGCAATTCCTGTATTTTTACTTTAAAAGCGTCCATCGTTTCTGATATTTCGTCCATCTTATCACTCTGGTATTCGAGAGCTTTAGTCATGTCATATATTTCTTTATGAATAGCCTTTTCCATTTCTTTAGAGATATCTTTAAGCAGTTGTTTTACATCGATTTGTACAGGATTCGTGTATTTTTCGGGAATATTACCAAAATCGTTTTTCTCGTCCTCATCATCATTCGGTGGAATATAAATGGAGCTACGCCTGGGTGAGATTTCCCAACACTCCGCGCATATCCATCCTAGGTTTCCAGCAGCTTTTAGTGCCGCTCTTTTCTTCGTTGTCAGCCTAGAACAGCTACCATTCAGGTGAACGATCTTCTCGCAGTGATTACATTCCAGTCCAGGATTGGTTTTGGTAATGTTTTTTCCACATTTATCACACTTTGTCATTGTTGCGGGTAGAACGCTACAACCAAACTCACAGTAATGCATACGCGTGCGTACTAAGCGAAATACGACAGCTGACTGACACGTTATTCGTAGAAAATGAAGCTTTTTTATCTGTATATTCTAACTTTCATTTGTAATGATTTAAAATCGACCGTGACCATGAGAATAAGGACCCGAAACGTTGGTTACTTTGATAACACAAGTATATACGATTTACATCCGAAAAAAATAGTGTCATTTCCTCAAACCCTACAAAGTTCCATATTTTGATGTTATTGTTTTCTTTCTTTGGACAGTTTTCATTAAACGAGACAATGTACAGAAAACAAAACACGATAAACTCTCTTTACTAATAAATCCGTCAGTTATTGACACAAGCAATTAGATAAATTTGTTCCAGTATCATACGGCACCCGAATTTTGCCACAGCTCTCATTTATGTGGTTCGAAACAAATGTGCTGGCAATTGTGGCGTCATTAGCATTGCTTGGAACTCCAATACGAATTTGTAACTTTACTGGGAAAAGTCCTTAATTGGTAAGGGCGTAACAATGTTATTAAGAGTTTGGTTACTTATTAGTTGCTTTTACTGTATTATTTACACTTTGCGTGCATATAATGTACGTATACTTTGGGTACATAGCGTTACCTAAGTTTGTCGCGTTATTGAATATCAATATGTTTTTATTATCATGACATTCATTTATTTTTAGCGAAAATACTCCACAAGTTATTATTGTAGATACAAATATTGAACAAACACTACAAAAAATTCCTTCAACCCGGACTCGAACCAGCGCCTATTGCCTCAACATGGCTACCACTCTGCAAACTAAGCCGTGGATCGATTTGTCACATCGTTTTCTTAGAATTCTAATATTCGTACATCAAGAGCACATGTTTTGTCAGTATCTTTTTTTTATAATACCATGTGACGAGACGAACAAGTCGTGGGCCTGGTGGTAAGCAACACGCCTGTCCATAACAGTTGCAGTGACGCTCGGAGCTTTCAAACGCAAAGATCGGAGGGGCACTGCCACTGCCCCTGTCACCCTGAGACATAAATTAACAAGTTCATGTCCTGCAATTTCACCAGCACCCTTACTCTTTAAAACCGGAACGCAGTAATGCTCACGTTACTGCTTGGCGGCAGAAATAGGTAAAGTGGCAGTACTTCCCTGGGCGAACTCTTTCACAAAGAACTCTAGGAAACTTAGGCTCAAACTTGCTGGCTACCTGGACTCGTATCTAACCTGTAATTTCTACGTTCAAACATCCACAAGGCTAATTCTCCAGACTTTATTTTATCTTATTAACCGACTTAAAAAAAAAGGAGTAGGTTCTTTTCGACTTTTTTTTTTAAATAAATGTTACGCGATAACGCATTTGTGAACCGACTTTTTTTGTTGGAAAGAGGGTACCTCAGAAGTGGTCTCATTTAAATTTGAAAAAAATATTCCACCTCTACGGGCGGCAAACTAGGGGATGAATGATTTTTAAGGTCGGTTTTTTTTAATACACTGTCCTGAGATTATTTCTACATTACTAATATTGTTCAGCAAAATTATTCAATAAAGAAAATAATTAAGTATACAACGAAAACACTCAAGGGTTCTACCAAAAGAAGGCAAATAACAAATAAGGATATGTTTCTCTGACTCTCACTTTAAGAATGTATAATGTACCAACTTAATAGTTGATCGTTAAAATACTGGTACCTAAAAGTTTTGGGACCGTAATAAAACAAGCGAACTGTTATCGATTAGGGTGAGTCCTAAATGTTTGCGAGATTTTTAGGAGGTTATTAAATAGAAACAACTTTTAATTAATACCCTACCAAAATCGTAAAGAAAACTTAACTATTTCATTTTGAACGTTGATACCTACTCGGTATGTATAGAGCGCTTGATATTTGATTTATTCTTGACCTTTCGGGGTCACTCTATACAGATAGTAGTATTACGCTTTGATTAGAAGTGTATTAGAATATTGTTCGGTCGTTTGGTCCCCTTTCTACCGCATTCACATTGATAGGGTTGAAGCTGTACAGAGACGTTTTCTCCGACATTTAAGTTCTAAATTCGGTATGAGACGTAAGTTACCTACATATGAGGATAGGTTGAAGCATTTTAATCTAAGTACATTGCAATCACGGCGCGTCGTTAACGATCTCGTCATTATGTATAAAATAGTTAATGCTAAATGGGACGCATGCGAATTGTTAAGCCATTTCTCGTTGCGAATTGGAAGTAATAGAACACAAAACCTGTTCTGTGTTCCATATTGTAGTAATAATGTTACCTACAATGATCCTCTATATCGTATGTGTCGAATTTATAATGAGATTAACAAAGACAAGAGCTTGGACATATATTTTCAAAGTTGTCCCACATTTTGTGAAATGATTAAAAAAAAAAGAAATTTTTTTTAATAACATTTAATTATTTTTTAACTTTATTTTTGTAGTCACTGCAAATTATGTATTTTAGTTCGTCATTATAATTTTATTTTCCGCTTTCTATACTACATTGTAATGCTGTGCATAACTGTAAGAGGAGTGTAAATTTATTGCCTATTTGTTTACAAGTATGTTTAATTTAAAGTATTGATTTGTACTCTGTAGTTGTGCCAATAAACAAATAAATAAATAAATAAATAAATAAATAAATAAATAAAAACCAGACCTACCGTCACCACGGTAGGACCGGTTTTTTCACATCGAAAATATTTTTGTCCGAAATAACGTTTGTTCGAATTTTCATTACACCAAAAACCGAGTTATAACGAAACAGTTGTTCTTTCAGGATATGTTGAATGTTTATCGCAAAGACACGATTAGGTTCGGTTAGGTTAGGTTAAGTTAAGTTTAAAAGAAAAAACATGTTTCTTTCATAATTACTTTCGAGGTTATGAAATTTCGACCAAACGTTGTTTCTGGAAAATGTCATTTCGGACTATTGATAGGTAATCGAGAGTTAGGCCGCGGAGTTCTCGCGCCGCGCCTTTGAAGTTACCGCCCAGTGGCGGATCCGAACAGCGACGGGCGAGAATGGGCGCGCTCGGGCGGCCTTCTTTCCACGGCGCGTTTTAACGAAACGCGCGCAGTGCGAAGCCGCCTTAATACGGAACTATAGGTGTGGACTTGACATTTGCCTTGTTATAATAAGTAATCTCCCGAATTCATTCGCTCTTTACGTAAACTGAATATTAGTTTTTTGTAAATATTGCACTAACTACTAACTACAGAAGTAGGATAATATGGTTATGATATACTTACAGTTAAATTGTAGGGGTTTTCTCCTTGAAATCAGTGAATTGCGACTCTTCATCAATCAACTGTAAATTCAAATGTTCACTCTTCATATGAAAAGTCGCCGAGATTGTTTTGTCCTCCAATAAAATGTTTTCAACCTGCACATCATTGTCTTTTCTCCCATTTCCTTCTAGATTGTTCTTTTTCAGCGACGGTCCCCGGTTGAAGGAAGAGGCAAGTAGAGTTTCCTGGATGGTGTCATTACCATTGCATATTTTTTCTGATTTATGCGTCGGCATCCTCCCTGAGTGGTAACTGTTCCTGACTCCTCCCGTTGACTCGAAAAAAGGAAGAACTTGCTTAAATTCTTTCCTAAAGTTCTCATTCAACCATGCATACAAAAATGGATTGTAACACGTTGACGCCATCGCCATTGAATGAGCGAAGACGAACGATATTAAGAAGTATTTGTCGTCTGTCATTGAAGCGTTGAAATCATTAAGAATATTGATCAAGTTTAGAGGAAGCCAAGAGATACCGAAAATAGCCACCATGGATATTAGCATTCTATTTGTTCTTTTCTTCCTATCCCTATCAGCTTCTTCTCTTCTGGTAGTCTTAGCTCCAGGTTTTGACCGTGCACGGTCATTCAATCTTATACTAACACAAGTGTAACATATGGCTATTACTAAAAATGGAACAAGAAATTGGAGGACAAACGTGAAGACACCAAAAATTTTCCTAGTTTTATCTGATGGCCACGTCTCTTCGCAATATATCTGGGAGTCGTTTGGCATCATTAGACCCATGAACAGTCCGTATGGGCATGTCGCTATCAATGAAAAGACCCATATGAATGTGATGATAAACACACAAGTGTTTAGTTTCATTCGGGGATGAAATGGATAAATTATAACAAAAAATCTATCTATTGCTATCGAAGTTAATGTTAAAGTGGATATATAGATGCTTGTTCCTTGAGCGTATGGCATGAGATGACAGAGAACTCTTCCAAATATCCATTTTCCTAAGAAAGTGTACAGTGGCGTCAAAGGCGCTCCAAGAAGACTTAGGATATCTGATAATGCCAGGTTCGTTATGAAGAGATTGGTGACTGTTTGCATAGCCCTATTTCTGAAGACCACATAGCATACTAGAACGTTTCCGAAAACTCCTAAGATAAATATAACGGAGTAGAGAAATATGAATCCTATTTGAACGAGTTTCTGGTCAACGATGTCATTTGTTTTGTTCACAAATTTTGATTCATCTAAAAAATCGAAGGTATCTCCGGCTAGAGTCTTGGTGAGTACAAGAACTTCTCCTTGGTGAGCGGTACCGTTGAGATGCATGGCCTGTTCATATTTAGTTATAGTTGAATTTTCATTGCTGGCGTTGTACGCTGACAGCATATTAACTTCGGGTCAATATCATCTTGACTAGAGGATTGTCCAATCCATACCAGTTCATCTGTGAACAAAATATACACAAAATTAGGTTTTCGTGTAGCAAGTCGTGAAAATTAGCTCACAATTCTGTGTATGTTATAAATTAACCTTTAGTTACCTCTATAAATTGTGGATATTACCATGAAAAGTATTTTATCTGTGATATTTATTATACGAACTGAAATTATATAAATAAATATTGTATAATAAATTATTTTTCTTTGTAATAAATTTGTAAATCTGCATCTTACGAGACTTCACACATGAATTTTGTACGCACCCAAGTTTTTATCATTTTACTTCTGTTAAAATAATATATTTCCAGCTGTTCTTCGAATGAAAAGCTTAAAGCAAACACAAAACAATGAAAATTTATTTATCCTGCGCCTTTTAATGCTCGGTACTGAAAAAGTTTATGTAGATTACAGAAATAGAATGTAAGCTTCGTGCTTAAATTCGTTGGTGATTAGTTTTTATTACATGATAAACCACATATGTGAATTGATTGTAAGACTTTACATCTATAGACCTTAATGTTTAGTAGTAGAATCTGAAATGGTTGGAGCAGAGGAAGATATTATCGAAGTTACGATGCACACATGGTCGTCGTCATGACAACCGATACGACCGCAATAAAGAGACGCACGGCTGGTTGGCGCTTGTCGGCGTTCAGTGAGCGCTTCGGTAGATACTAGAGTTGTGATGTGGCATGATACAAAAATAAAATCCCCTGCCTCAATATTTTGCAATGATGATAAGAAACTTGTGAGCTGTGATGTAGAAACAGACGTAAAAGCCGTCTTAAGTGAAAGGATTTGAGTTGAAAAATTATAAAATGTGGAGACATTAAGAGTATGGATCACATCGGCAGATGCTGATGTGGATGCTGATTTTTTGACCTTAACATTAGCGAATGTTGTTTTGTTTATTTAAAAAAAACATGAGCAGTGTACAGACGACAACACATCAAGTTACACACAATAACGAACTTTGTTCCGTTGCACTGCAGGCGATACTCGAACAAATGAGAATAGTTTGATGTGCTGTCGACTGTACACCATTACTGAATCTATTTACATGAAAAAGCTTTCGATTTTCTGTGGACATGTAATCAAATATTATTTCAATGATTTTGTGACATATATTAACAAAATAACCAATTTGCTTGATAACAATCAATCTGCGTAGCTTAATCGTAGTGGACTTTTGTCAAAGTTATATTTAAAAAAAACAGCTGAGCAGCTTTGTCAACGTGCAGTCTGTTTCTGGAAGCTTTATAAATTATTACAGCGTACATTTTAGGTCATGATATGACTCGAACATCCGCAATAAATATCAGCGTCGATGGATGTGGAGGCTGATATTCGCAACAACCCTGGTACGAATCATTTCTTTTTTAATGATAACAAGGGACGAGACAAACAAGTCGTGCGCCTGGTGGTAAGCGACACGACTGTCCAAAGCAGTTGTAGTTTGAATCGCAAAGATCTGAGGAGCACTGATACTGCACCCGTCACCTTGAGACATCAATCGACAAGTCCCATGTGCCTGTAATTTCACTTAGTGTTCTCATTATGTCGTGACGACAGACAGTCGGGAAGTTTTAAGTGTTTTGGCTTGTGTATTTAAATGAAGTTGTTCACATATATAGTAACAGCACGATTAACTGTCGTTCACGACTTTTTTGATATTACGACTGCAGTTTGTCAAGACAATGGGAAGAGCCAGAACGACAGCCGTCAGACGATAAATAAAGCCTCACGACAAAAATGTGATGATAGATAATAACAGTTTCAAACTATTCTGTCGTGCAAACGACAAGGCGGCTGCCGTGAATCGATAAATTTTTGTCACGATCTAGTGGGGACAGTTAGACACGACAATTGTTCAATGATAAAATAAACGTCCACGACACAGTCACGGCAGATAGTCGTGATATGTGAATAGGCTAGACGCGACAGTCGTCCAACGATAAATAAAACGTTACGACATAATGGGAACGCGCCCTATGTTGTCAATACCAATGACAATATAATGTACTATTACACCATTTAACCCATTTATTTCCAAACTCATAAAACACAGGATAAAAAGAAACAAGATTCTCGAACATTATTATAGAACATATAAAAAAAAACTAAAATTAAATAATAACAATAATAAGACATTTATTCATAACCACATTTACAATAAAATGGTTAACAGTAAAGAGTATCGGAAATGTGGACTCTAGTGTCAATTAAAAGGATGGAACCTCAGCACTACTGCTGCTTTTCGGATTCCACTTTCATACATGGACATCCGCTGCTGACAATGGCCAATCATCACAGGAATTACATTTTAAATTTATAAGACATGCTTAAAATTAATTTATTATTTCAATGAGTAGACGAGTATACATATATTACATGTAAAAGAACATTGGGTAAATACAGGACACAAACGGCACTGGAACAAGTCTCAACTTCTTATATACTTTTAATCTTACTTAGGTAACAAATAAATTACGAAGAAACTTAAAACAAAGAAACGATTTGCTACGTTATAGTGCAATTACGATAACAATTTAGTCCAGGAACATTGTGATTTTTGTATATTAAGTAGCCATTGGTTACACTTTCTTTTGAAAGTGTGCAATGACTGACTATGTTTGATCGGGGGTAGAATGTCATTCCAACTTTTAGACGAAGCAAACCGAAAGCTTCCCCTGAAGGAGTGTAACCGAGAAAATGAGCGAAATTGTAACACTGGCTGGCGCGATGACCGAGCCTGATCCTTCTCTCTGTCATTCCAGCACGTGTGTGGGGTATAATCTCAGCATTCACTGAGCCATAAAACACATTTGAATTTTGGGCCTATTCCGCAAATTTAATGGATTATTAAAACGTTAGTACTAAGTACTTAGTAAAAAAAATATTATTAAAACCATTGACTTACAAATAAATGGACGACGGGTCTAATACAAAAACCACGAAAAAAATGTCCCAAGTCAACCTATTTAAACGTAGTGACATGTAAAGGAATATGAAAAAGCCAAAACGTTGAATTTAAATTGTAATGTCATCGCAGTACTGTCTAATTTTGCTTGCTTTGCTGTCAGTCCAACAAACGAAGACTAAAGCGTGAATGACGCTCTGTATACGATTTTAACGCCCTATAAGTTCGGACACTTTTTAGCGCGGACCCGACGTCCATATAATTGTAAGTCAATGATTAAAACTAATATTTTCCTTCGAACCAATAAATAATAAGATTAAGGAGAATATAATTTTCATATGAACAAAAGCAAGTTCGTGTAACTCGCTTAAACAAACCTTAAGCAACTTTAATTAATTCAAAACTTTTTAAGGATTATTCCTAAAGAATTCCAATTTTAATAAGTTCCTACGCGATGTTCCTTTTTGTGTTTTATACTAACGACACCACATCATCAACGAAATTGAGTAAATGGATTTGTAAGATAGTCACTTAGCCATGAATCTCGAAATTGAGGAAATGAACCAGTTTAAAAAGCGATTTACTTTCTTTAAAATATTCAAGACTGAGCCGGGTAGGTTCATAATCTTTAACGGTTATTGGAGATTGTATTTTCTTTTTTTGAAAAAGGTACATTTTTAACAAGAAGAATACCTTCCTTTGGTGACACTTTGCCTTCGTCGGTTTTTCTAATTTACTTTTAGAGCGTTCTTTTTTATTTTTTTATCTTTGGTATTTACCTTTCATTTTGGATATATTTCGAAGACTTTTTTGTTTTTTGTAACACTAATCAATACTTTATTTAACAGTTAAGCTTTTTACTTTTTATTCTTCAGTGATTCACTAATTCTGATGACATGTTATTACTATTATTATCCATTTTTATTACTATATTCTTTTATCTATGTATTTTGTTGTTTTATTTTATTTATGCATTGTTAGATACTCTATTTAAGCAGGTGTATTAGGTTTTATATACTATCAGTGTCGCGCTTTATGTCGCTCTCGCGCAAGTCGCGCAATGTTGTGCTAGCCCTATTGAGAGCGTTGAGAGCGTCAACTTTTTATTTGTCATCGTTTATAGATCATATCTAGCAGCCAGGTACTTTAGGCACTCCTGTAGTATGTGCTGTATCGTCTCCTCTGTTGCGTCGTCTTAGGTGCACGAACTTCCTTTATTTAATTCAAACTCGACTTTACGAATTTTAGACGAATTTGAAGATGTTTTTACCTTACTTAACTAATACAAAATTTTAGATGAATGGGACGATATTAATCTGTATAAACAATAAAAATAAGCCTTTATAGTGCTCTGTACAATTTCTTGGGTTTTGGTTTAAATATTGGGTTAAAATATTATAGTCAAACAATATGAATGAGGATTGAGTGCTAAAGATCCGAGAACAATGTCGGCAGATAAAATGTACTTAAAGAGTTTACAACGCAATTTCAGTAGAAGGAAGACAACCGCAAGGAGATAACAATGACGTGCTAATAATGTAAATGTATGTCTCAAAGCTGACGCCAAAAACAAATACTAACTCTGAAATTTTAAAACGAACTTCGATTAAGGAAAAATGGCTAACGAAGGTTGCCGAAGTTTAATCAAGAAATTGCTAAGTTTACTCAAAGTATGATTTAATTTCTTGTTCAAAAGTTCGTTTTGTATATACAAAAAACTTCCTTAGCTTGCCATTTTTTCTTAATCGAAGTCAAGGGTTCGTGTTATAAATCGTAGCCTTAGTGCGTTTGAAATGTGTAGTAAAAAGTTTTAAATTTAGAATTTTTTAAAGAAATGTGAGATCGTCTTACCATTTTCTACCGCAAACTTAGTTGACTTAGTTAGCCAGTTCAATTGGCAACCTTATTTTTACATACTTGTTCGAAGTATGACGAGATTTTCTTTTAATACGTCTTTAAAAACGTAAGCATTTTATTATTCAGGGAAGTATAGTAACCATTGTTATAATTATTAATACAAAGATCGAACACTCAAAAAAAACACTCAGAAAAAATTCCTTCGATCCGGTCGGATTCGAACCGACG